GTCTCATAAAAGATGAGAGCGTTTTACTCATTCTTTTTTAACTGTGGGCTGATCCCTCATTGACTTAATAAATTCCTTGTGAATTCCTTGTATATGGAATTAATTGTATTTTAATACCAAGAGATAGCTGAAAGGGAAAGTGTTACATTACACATACTGGGAAAAAATACCTCCAGTAACTGAAAAAATAATTGTGCTTTACAGGTCTTGGGTGACATAATCACAAAATGCCTGGAGATTGCTGAAGAACTGTCTTTGAAATCAATTACTTTTCCAGCAATTGGGACAGGGAATTTAGAATTCCCAAGATCTGTTGTTGCTAAATTATTGTTTGACAAAGTGTTTGAATTCAGTAGTGAAAAAAGAGTAAATTCTCTTGAAGAAGTTCACTTCCTATTGCACACAAAAGACACAGCTAATATTCAGGTGAGTTATTGTGGTTATATTATATTATGTTATATTATGGTGTGTCTGAGTCTGTCTCATGATACTTGGCTATCTGATGATATTCAAAGAATCTCCAAGGTGCTTGTTCTTATACTAAAGGAAAAGGTTGCTGACAGTGTCTCTCATCTATACTGAAGGTTGTCTTTTTAGTTCTATCTCCCATGGTCACCAGCATATCAAGTACAGTCCTGCTCCCTTCCTGTCCTTTTCTGTTTCCTGAGAATAATACATACAAAAGTGTAATTACTCTTTATTTCATGAACTCACCTAATTCTTCAGTCAGTAGGTCGACAAGTTTGTTGTAACTACTGCTTCAATGCCTGCACTCTTGACAAACAGGTATGCTTTTAATGGAGTGCTGGTGTCTTTTTAGGAGGAATCTTTGTGTTAGGATTGCTGTGCTGTAGAAACATAAAAGTTTTCTCCATCACCCTCTCTTCAGTGTCCCATTAACATAAATTTCAATATCCACACTCAAGTTACTCATTTCACACTGAAAGAGAGCAGTCACACTGTAATGTTCAGATAAGTGTTCCTACATCTGTTGCCTTCTGTACTTTGTGCAACTTTTTGAAAGGCTAAACTTGAAGGCTACTGCATCAAAACCTGAGCTATTGTGCACAGAGAAGGGTGGCATTCCCTGTAAGAGCTGAGCTAGCATGAACTACTCACTCACTGCAAGGATGCCTTCTGCTGCTCTACCCCTGTGGAATGGTAAAAGCCACCCCCCATATGGCTTTGACTCCATTATTTGTGATTCTGTGTGCTGTTCACACCGAGCAGCCTTGCTCTCTGAGAACAACATCTGTCAGGACTTGCCATCAGCATTGTGGCAGATGATGTGAAGTAATTTGCATTGAATTCTTTCTAAATGTTTTTAGCTTTGCTTTTCAAACCTTTATTTTTACTGTGTGAAGACTTCTACAGGGGTTGATTGTAATTTCATTCTCTAGGAATTCTCAGATGAACTTGAAAAAAGATCTGTAGCTGTGACAGGAGAGAATCCTGCTCCAAATGATGCTAGCCCAAGCACAGGTAAGGTTTATTCACAGAAACTGTGTGCCTACTGATTATTTTTTTCAAGTATTCCAGAGAATGCATTAATTATGGATATTTAGGTACTTGCTTGGTGAGCATGTCATTCCCAAAGTCTGAGTGGCTGCTGTAAAGGCCTTATTTCAGGCTGAGTGTCTGTTATGACAGAAATAGTGCAGGAGATGCTAAGGAAAAACGTGTTCCTGTGATTCTGGATAGTGCCCCTGCAAATAGGAACAGCAGAAGTTATAAGGTGTCAAGGGCATCAGCAGTGCTTTTACTTTTATTGCTGTAGCAGTAGATTAAACTGTGACCAAGGTAGTGTCTTCCTCTGTCCTGGGAAGGCAGGTGAGATCCTGGGTATGTGTGTTGAAGTGGTCTCTTTGAAATACCCTTATGTATGTTCAGATGTTCAGATGAATAGCAAAACCAAACTGAAATGTATTTCTTAATGGAACTGCAGCCTGTAGAAAAATGAGTTACATATCGAAAACTTAGTTACAATTTTACAAATAACATGTGTAAAAATTTGCACCTTTTCAAGAAGGAGAGAACCTGCCTGGAAACTCTGTGAGACACAGAAGCAAGGGAGTGAGACTTAGAAAGTTTGCTGCTGTCTTACATGGGAATTTTGCAGTGGTAAAATGTCACCAAGTAGTGTCTGCATAAGAGGTGTGCAGCAAAACACATTTTCCCTGCCATCCTGCCATGATAGAAATGATGGGAATGAATGCAGGTGGAGTACAGACTTGTATAAGAATGATGTTCAGTTAGCATGGCAGGCAATCCCTTCCACAGGCTGAGTCTGTAGCCAAACTGTGTCTCTGTAGGCATTGTACCCAATCCCTCCTTTCTGCTCAGGGTCTGTATTTCTTTTCCTGCAGCTTTTTCTGCTGTCCCTTCAGCCTCAGCACGCAATGTGCCTGAAATGACAATTGGCTCCATCATGTTCCGGGTGGCAGAAGGTGATATTACCAAGGAGGAGGGAGATGCCATTGTAAACATAACAAACGAAACCTTCAACCTCAAAACAGGTATTTTAATTGATATTGTGTGTGCTTGGAAGGGCTGGGAAAGAGGAACAGCAGCCCTTTTATTTGTTTCACAGTGTAGTTTCTGTTTTGCTTCTTGGGGTACAAAAGTTCAATTAGGGAGTGTCTGAACTTTATTCACTTGTTTATCTATGTTACAGGACAGCATGCTTAAGCCTCCCTTGCAGAAAGGGAAACTAATTATCTTTTTATAGAGCACCTATCAGACTAAAGGAGGAGACAAACGTCAGTGAGGTTTTGACCTTAGTGAAACTTGTTGGGTACTCAAAACATCAGTTTGAATTGAAAAAGCATATAAGGCTAAAATTTTGGCTACAGTCTTTTTAATATATAATCTGTAATATTATCAGAATTGAGATTATTTAGATGTGATGAGGCATACAGTTCTGCCTCAGATGGGACTTTAACAGCAATAACAGTGGATCCATGTTGCTCTTCTCATTTAAGGTGTCTCCAGAGCAATTCTGAATGGTGCTGGAAAAGCAGTTGAAGATGAATGTGGTGTACTAGGTATGGTGCAACATTTCTGACCTCTCCAAAGGTGTTACTCTGACTACTGTAGTTCCATCTGTATTACACACTGTTACAGCAACTAGTTTTTAATCTGTTAATGTGATATTTGAAAACATCTAATGGGGAAGAAAAGGTAAAATCTTCAGGATTCAGCTTCGAAGCATACATAAAGATCCAAATCTATTGTTATTGTTATCCTCTTATTTCAATAAAGATTTCCTTAAAACAGAGTCAGCATCAAACATAGCCATGAGCAAGGGGTGATGCTGGCAAAAATGTTAATAGAGAAACCATTTGTAGGCCAAATAGTTGGACAGCAACTATAATGAAAGAGGAGTAAAGATGGATGAGTATGTGGTTTAAAACACCAGAAAAAAGGGAAGTGGGAAATATGCAGGTGTGGAGGTCACCTTGGAAGACCAACCAAAGGAAAAGAATTATGTGGAAGAGATCCAAGGTAAACAAGCTGTTCTTGCACAGCCCAAGAGGGTAATATGGGTTAGGTGGCCTGCAGGTAGATGGCATATTCATGTGTGTGTGTAGACAGAATGCCAGTCTTCATTAAGTTCTCCAAGTTTACTGAGCAAACCTGACAAATAAAGGCACACACTAAATTTATTTGCCAAAGGAGGCAAATATTTTACAAAAATAAACCAAGTTTTTGTGCCTTGGAAGAGAAAATTGAATGAAGGGGTTGCTCACTTTATGGAAGGAGACACAAAGCTTATCCTGGTGCATATTTCTCACCATTTCTTATTTCCTGATGAGGACTAGCACACATCTATATTGGGGATAATTGTTGATTATTTTCTCCTACTTATGTTTCAGCCCAGAAAACTGGCAAGAACTGTATCATCACCCAGGCAGGAAACCTGCCATGCAAAAAAATAATGCATTTTGTTTACCAACGTGATATCAGGTCCCTGGTTTTCCAAGTACTCCAGGAGTGTGAACTGCAGCAGTACACCTCTGTCGCCTTCCCAGCAATTGGAACAGGTCTGTGTCTCCCTTTTCTGAAAAGGGTTCAGTGCATGTGATTCTGCTGATCTCAGGGCTCAAGTGATGAGTTTGATTTATCTGGAGAGGTTGTTATTTGGTGAAAATATGTTAGGGAATATGCAGTCTTTAAAAATGTTATTAGACGCTTATGAAAGCTAGAAAACTTCAGTCCTTACAGTGATCCAGTACATCAAGAGCATGAGTTTTCTAAAGCCAAAACTTCCTTGCTAACAGGGATTCAAAGGTATGTCTGTGATTGCTGAAGAACCTGAAGCCTGATATATGTGGGCACCTCATCAGAGAGTAGCCAGGGAGGGGAGGTACTTCTTCTCCATTGCTGAAATCAGTAGGTGATGGAACTCTGGCCAGCAGCTGCACAAGTAGGATTGATACAAATGGAACACAAGCCTGTCCAAAAGCCCAGATTGTCCCTTTTTTTGTTCTCTTCTCATTTTCAGTTAGTTTGGTAGAAATCCCCTGGAGCTGGAGAATCCAGAGCTGCACCCCATGCACATGGGAACCTCTTGCACAAATAAAATTAGGCTTGCATTTTGAGCAAGGAATGGACTACCGGGCCACTGAGCAGCAGGCCTGTGGCCTGTTAGCTACCCAAGCATATAATCTACATCATAACCTGATTGCTTGAAAGGACACTTCCATTTTTCCCTTACTGGAAAGGTGGTCCCCAACTTTCTTTTCCTGATACATAGAAACCTTTCTTAATTGCCAGCCTGATGTTATTCTCAACTTGTTTATGATCCAGCTGATGGTGTGGATATATTCAAACCTGTCCTTTTAAAGATGTTTTAATCATCTGTAACAGTTATTAACACTTTCTAGAGCAAAATATCTGCATCTTTTTTCAGGAGAGGCACGCCGCAATCCAGCTGAGGTAGCTGACAACATGATAGATGCAGTAACTGACTTCGCAAAAAGGAATTCTGCTACGTCTGTGAAAACTGTTAAAGTTGTCATCTTTCAGCCACATCTGATGAGTGTGTTCCAAGCAAGCATGCAGAAAAGAGAAAAGTCTACTGCAACACGAATCAAAGCCTTTGTTTCCAAGGCATATCACATGGGTAAATGTAAGTAGATGTCACTTAGGTACACGTTATAGATCAATCTGTTTAGCACTAGCTAAAAAAGATTAATATTAATGACAATATTTATGTATTTCAATGTAGCACTCTGGAGCTCTGAGAAACTTTCCCCTAAGGAAGAAACCAAAGTGGTTTTGGAAAAGAAAATCAACCTGGCTGTTGTGCAGATTTGTGGTGAAAATAAAAAAGAAGTGGAAGAAGCTGAAAAGTGGCTGAGAAGTGCAATTTCAAAAGAACAATCTCAAACACAAATTGTAGATGAGACTATCTCTCATTTCAATGAAGAAGAGAAAGCAGAACTGCGTGACCTAGAAAATGAATTAAAAATTTGTCTTAATTTGAAGAGTACCCATATTGAAATTTCAGGGGTTGCAAAAGATGTGTGTGTGGCTTCTTTAGCTGTTCATAAAATGATTCTCAGGGTAAAAGCTGCTAAAGAGACACAGGCAAAACTTTTACAAAATTCAATTGAATGGAAATATTTTGAAAAGGATTCTTATGTACCCTTCAACAGTCTCACAAATGTGGAGTTGGAAGATGCTTACAAGGGAAAGCAGAAAACTCTTGAAGTCACCATTGGTGAACAAATTTACACAGTGGATATGGAACAGAAGACTGCTGTGGATGCCCATGGAAGGCAGATATCCCTTATACGTATTGAGAAATCTGAAGGTAGGTAAAAGCATCGTGACAGACTGATGTTCCCATGTGACAACCTGCTTGCACCCAGTAAGAGAAAGGAGAAGGGAATGATGAGAATATTTAAAATACATATTAGGAGTTTTCTGCAGGTCCTTTTCTGGAGCATGTGGAAAGGAACCGAATTGGGAAATAAAATAATGTTGCAGCTATTTAAAATATTTTGAAAAGAGAGTAATGTGTTCTGATGTTCTTAACAGGCTTAATAGCAATAATGTTCTTGTAGCATTTGTTGTGCTAGATCTCAGCTCACTTCTGTTCTTGAACCGTATCCTCTTCCATTTACAGAACAGGGAGATCCTCCTTTCCCAGTCATCCATAAGCAAGATGTGTGGACTTCTAGAAGAATTTGTAGAAGGTTATGTTTCATTTTAGGCAGGGGATTTGGGTGAATATGAGTGATCGTTTTTCTTCTGCAGATCAAAAGTCAACAGCGCCCCCTCCAACATGGGACCATATGGAAAATGAGCAATTCAAAATAGTGGAACTAAAACCAGACTCAAGAGAGTACAAAGATGTGCAAGAAAGGTTTCAGCAAACCTGTCAGTTATACAAAATTGAAAAGGTAAAAGCAAGTCATCATTTCTTAATGGCAAGCGATGAAGGATACTGATAACAGAAAAATAAAATCCCCTGGGATTTCTAAAGTTGGGACAAGTCTTTCTGGCTGTCATTAACTTTATTCAGTTTTAATCAGTTTAATGTTGCAGTACAGGTATTTGGAGCAGCTCTTAAGCAGTCACTTCTTCAGCTCCAGAGGACAGTGCTCTTCCTTGGAATGGTTTTTGCTGTAGCAGAGCACGTTTTGCCAGTATGCCACGTGTGTTGTGCATATGGGCAAAACGTCATAACCTGGCTGGTTGCCAGGCCAACAAAAGGATGTGCATATGCCATGCACACATGCCACATGTGTTGTGCAGACCCAGCAGGCATTTACAGCCTGGAAACCTGTGAAAAGCTCCTGTATTGTTTTCCAGGAGTGTTTGTCTTATGGTTTGGGCTGGGTTCTGCTACCTGCCATGCCAGAGTTTGGAAAGATTTGACTAATTTATTTAATCACCTGATGTATGTGTATTGGAGCTAGGAGGGGAATCTTGGACGCTGATTGAATGATTGATAGGCTAACTTTTTTCATTACATCAACCTACCCACTTTCTTTCTTTCTTTCTTTCTTTCTTTCTTTCTTTCTTTCTTTCTTTCTTTCTTTCTGTCTTTCTTTCTTTCTGTCTTTCTTTCTTTCTTTCTTTCTTTCTTTCTTTCTGTCTTACTTTCAAACTTCACAGATTGAAAGGATACAGAACCTATATTTCTGGAAAAGCTACCAAATAAAAAAGTGTGAAATAGATAAAAAAAATGGTGACAAAAATAATGAGAGGCTTCTGTTTCATGGGACGAGTCAGGAGTCATTAACCCTTATTAACAAACATGGATTTAACCGGAGCTATGCTGGAATGAACGGTAATGTAACTTTCCAAACAACTCTTGTTTTCCCTTACAGAGCTAGGACTGATTTGGTCATGCCATGTATACTCCTACCTTGTGTGCAAAATTATTTATTTTGTTGTATTTCCCTATTGCAAATAAAAAACAGAGTTGTCCAGTGATTCACAGGCTCTGAAGGTGGCAGATAAGGAGTTGCTGCTACTGAAACACTCACAAACCTTTGCTTTTCTGACTACAGCTGCAAACTTTGGAAATGGAACATACTTTGCTGTTAATGCCTGCTATTCTGCCAATGACCTCTACTCTAAACCAGATGTGAATGGGAGGAAGTACATGTACTTGGCCCGAGTCCTTGTTGGAGAATACTCTCTGGGGAAAAAAGGATCAATTACTCCAGCACGAAAAAATGTTAGCAACTCTGTAGATCTGTATGATAGTTCAACTGATAACATGAGCCAGCCATCCATGTTCATAATTTTTAATGACATTCAAGCTTACCCAGAATATCTTATCACTTTTACTAAGTAAGTATTTTAATTGCAGCCACAACTGTATGTCTTTTAGCCTCTATGTAGAATAGAAACATCTGTAACAAAACACTAAACAAAAATACTAAAGAATTGTGTCAGATTAAGTTCTGACTTGATTTAAGCAATCTCTGGCAGTTTCTGATCCCCCTGAAGCTTGCTGACACTTGGAGCAGCTGAATGTATTAAGACTCGAGCACAATATTGTACTACAGTCCTCTTTTAGATTACATAGTGAGCCTTTCTACTGTATCAGCCACACAACCTTAGGGCCTTCCTAATTGCTGGTGGGGGATTGGAAGGGATAATGCAGCCACAGACTGTTCAGTGTTGCATTTCTGATGCCTTTTTATACTCTGTGACAGTCTCATAACTAGTTATGTTAGAGCAGTTTTCAATAAAGGAACCAGTTGTACTAAATAGCTTGTGTTTGTCTAAACTTCTTTGAACATTTAGCATTGGTTTTTAACCAGTGAACTTCAATGAACTTGACATTACAGATTTGGAATTACTTGTTTTTAATACAATAAACCCTGCTGCTTTGCAGCACCCCCAACTTTGAAAAGGCCTTGGCTCCTCTGAATGTATTGGGTTTGATTTACTTGGTTGTATGATTAAGAAAAAAAAAATCTTCCAATGCTTTCTTTACATAGTTAGGTTACTGTTATAATTTTACCATGGGTTGGTGTGTCCCTATGAGAAATAAGTACTGTGGGGTAACTCTGGCCAAGGGACACCTTTTCTAGGGAAGGTGGTGTGAAATAACATGAATATGCAAGTCAGGTGTCTCAGGAGAGCCATTAACTTCAGGCTGTGCATTTGCACATCCCATAACTCCTGTGACTGCACTGGCACTGCTCCCTTTGGACTTTTTTGCTTTTTACTATGTAAAAAAACTCAAGTGGTTAGAAAAACTCCATTTTCTAACCACTGAAAATTGCTGACTGTTGAGATCAAGTGTGTTGAAATCAATTTAACCTAGAGCTGGAGATCAAGGTATTGGTATGGGGGCCAAAAGTCTTACGCTTTGCTTGTACAGTGAATAAACTTATTAAGTGCTCATCACAAATACCTGTGGCCAGTGGTTCAGCAGCATGCCAGGAGCCAGAGGAGATGGCTCCAGGCTCTTCATTGCTGCTATGGGTCACTGGTACGAGAACCATTCTCTCCAGGAGCCAGTACTGCATCAGGTCTGAGCTTCCTCAGTGCCACAAGAGGACACCAAGGTGTTTTTTCACCAGTGCTTGCATTACAGGTGCCTAAGGCATGAAGCCTGGAGCAGAAACCTGTCATCCTGGGCTTTGTGCAGGCCATGAGTAACAAATGCTGCTTCTCCAAATGGGTTTATTCTAACAGGCAATGGCCAGAGGCAGGAGTGTACAAAGGGACCAAGAATCATTGAGTAGCCTGAATTGGAAGGGACCCACAAGGATTATCAAATTCTAGCTCCTGGCCCTGCACAGGACATCCCGCAGAGTCACACCATCTTGCCTAAGAGAATTGTCCAAATCCTTTTTCAATGCTGTCAGGCTTGGGCCTATCACCACTTCCCTGAGGAGCCTGTTCCAGTGCACAACCACCCTCTTGTGAAGAACTTTTTCCTGATACCCAACCTAAATCTCCCCTGACACAACTCGTTCCACCCTGGTCTTGTTCCTCTGGCAGCAATGATGCAAAATGTGGAATATGTAAAAACTTCCTTAAGGAACCATGTTCTTTGGTGTTTGATCTTTGTACACTCTCAAGTTTAATCAACAGAAAGGAGACTTCATCCAATAAACAGGTAGTTAGCAAGTAAGCACTAACAGATGTTCAGGTGTCGGAAAAACAAATTGCTTGTTAGTAGAATTGCCTTGTTAAGGTTTAGGGCTTAACATGTTTCAGTGATTTGAGACTTGGGAGGAGGTTAACAAGGCTTGGGGAAAAGGATTTACCACTGATAGTGGGCACAAAGAATGCAGAATTTACAGGCCACAAGGACATTTGGCAGAGGCCCCAGGATAAGGAAGAAACGAATAAAGACAACTCAGCAAGCATGCTGAATTGGCTCTTACTGGGCTAAGGCAGTTCTGGCAAGGGGAGATCGTGACCAGCAACTCATGAGCTTTTGACCTTTTTTTTGGTGAGCTTTCGGGTCAGCTCACCACTGACCCAAAAAAAGAGAAAGACCGAGCACGTGAACTAATTGGCATGGCAAGTAAGAGAACCACTAATCAACAGAAGATGGAATAATTAAAAAGAGAAGTAAGTAGCCAATGAATGTTAATGCCACTTATTCCTAACGTTTTGGTAGTCACCATGCCAGCCCCATCTCTGCGCAGGACTGTAGATGGATCAAATGCCTCGATTCTGTGTGAGGGTTGGCCTCTTGCACAGAACTTCTCGTGGGACAGCAGCGAGAGCGGCTGCCAGCTGCCGGCAGCAGGGCAAGCAGGGCGTTTGATAAGGCGAGGGGGATGCTTTGGGGGAGAGAAGCGTAAGGGTGCAGGTGTGAAGCTGCAACGGAGCGGGCCGAGGAGGCTCCCGGGAGAGGCGGCGGAGGAGACGTAGAAGGTGCGTGTCTGCCGGGAAAGCCGCGCCCAGCCCTGCGGGGAAGCGAAAGCGAAAGGCGGAGGGGAGCGGCGCGGCGGGCATGGCGGGGCAGCGGCCGTGCGCCTTCCCGCTGCTGGTGCGGGGGGACTGGGGCCCCGCCGAGCCGCCGCCCGCGCTCAGGAAGAAGCTGCTCTGCTACTTCCAGAGCCAGAGGCGCTCGGGCGGCGGCGAGTGCGAGCTGCGAGCCGGGAGCGACAGCGGGGCCGGGCACATCCTCGTCTGCTTCGCCTGCCCCGAGGGTGAGCGGCCGGGCCGGGCGGGAGGGGTGCATTAGCGTACGGGCTGTCCGCGGGGGTGTTGGAGTCGGAAATCACAAGTCTAAGCTTTCTGCGAGTTAAAAGATACATACTTAGTTGTTGCATACGATGTAATAATATGTCCCGTCTGGTACGTGATGTGCAGTATCTGTAGTATATAATATGTCGTATGCACCCCACCCCCCGTGCAATATAGAATAGACAGTATCTAAACTTGGTGTGGTTCTTGCGTATGTCTTGTATAGGTCCAAAAGTTGGACTCGATCTTTGTGGGTCCCTTCTAACTCAGAATATGATATTTACTTTTATATATATATATATATATATATATTTGCTTAGATTTGGTGCTTAGCACTTAGCCTCTAAATTGTGTTTGGCGTAAAGGCGTAAAGTCTGTAAGCGAATAAATATATCCTAGGATGCACAGTAGTATTCTCTAAACTGCACACGGAATAATAAATCTTATGTTAGCCTAACAATTAGATTATTTACAGATATGTATGAAAAATATGACATCTGTAGCATGTACGTATTTTTGTAAACTTGCAGCAAGCTGGAAAGGATTTAATTGCACTTATGTGCAGAAACACACAGATACCTATGTACATTTTTTCCTTTTCTTGCCTTAACATGCTTCTCAGTTGCTGGCTCTCCCTGCTGGTGAGTTCAGGACATACAGCCCCAGGCCAGGTCATTTCGGCACTGTGGAAGAGGATGTTCAAGGCGTGGGAAGCCGGTACCGGGACTCTCCGGGTACCACCATGAAACCCGTGACAGAGCCGAGTTTTGCGTGTCTGGCAGTTTTTCGTTCTCTGCTGTTCTTCCGTTTTCTGGTTTTTTTTTTTTTTTTTAATTGGCTTGTTTTTTGGTTTTGGTTTTGGGGTTTTTTTTTGGGTTTTTTTTTTAAGGAAGAAAGCCTTGGACATCCTGCGTCAGCGTTTTGAGTTTAAAGCTCTTTCGTTTCACGGGACAGTATATCTGTGTGTCCTTGTTCCGGCCAAAGCGAGGTTACCTTTTCCAGGAGCCGGGATGGGCACAGCCAGATCCTGGGGAAATTCGATCCCAACTTAGTCATGCGGGCACGGAAAGGGAGGGGGTTTTTCCTGGTAGTGCGGAGTCGGGTGAGCAACGGGGGGTGAACCGCTCACCTGTGGTGTACACTCGGTTATCAGTATTGATGTTGTTCCTGATCGTTTTTCTTACTTCATTGCTGTTTGTAGTTTATTGTTCTCATCTCGTCCTGTAATACTTAACGTTTTTGTGACTTCAATTCTCTTCTCCATCCTGCCATGGCGGGAGGGGGAAGGGAAGAGCAGCGAGGTCTGGCGTGTTTCAGTGAAAACAATAAATTGCAGAATACCATCCTTAAAGCACGGCAGTGTCATAATGGTGGGAAAGTGTCATGCGGTGTAAAGCTGTGTTTCCATTCAGATTTTCACAGGGCTTTTTTGGTTTTATTTAGTCAAGCAGCGAGTTCTTGAGAGACAGTCTCATCAGCTGCATTTAGAAGGAGAAGGAAAATTGAGGTTGATTGTCACAGAGCCTGAAACAGTACAAGCTACTGAAGAGAAGACACCTGAAGAAAAATCAGTTCCCACTAAGGTGAATAAAAATTGTAATCTTAACCAGAGCTTTGAAATAGTGTTGAGAGTGTCTAATCTGTCACTAATATTTGGCTTTATTTTATTTTAGGCTTTGGATGCCATGAGCAGCCTTCAAACAAAAGGTAAAATGTTATCCATCACTCTATATGCTGATTCTTCATAAAACAAAAGTGTTGGTGCTTTTCTTCACACATGGCTTCCAGTTCTCCGAGTTGTCATCTATTTTGTAGTTATACTAGAGAGGAACCTGGAAATCTTCAGATCCTGCTCCCAGTTGCTTCAATGGGTCATCCTAGCTTTCGGTTTTGGCCCTTTGGTATTTTCTTCATTGGACAGAGTGGAGGAGATGACACCTTCAGCAATCTAGAAATTAGTAACCAGCATCAGAAAGACTGTTCCTTCTTATTTCTTTAGTTTTCTTCTTGTTTGTGGTGGTAGGCCTTCAAAGGCAGCTGTCTTCTGGAAATGTTATGGGTTTGGTATCAGTAGTTTTTGTACCTTGGTGAGCAGACAGCCAGCCTGTTGGTCGTATCAGTTTGGAGGTTCTCTCACACCTCCGCCCTCATCTGTCTGCAAATGTGGTGACATGCTTGCCTCTGGCAGACACTGAGTCTGGGATACTCAGTGGGCACCTCTGATATATTTTCTATTTGCAAAATGATCTTGCATCCCTGTCAACCCTTTGTGCACATGGGCCCTCCAGCACTGTCATGCTGCACTAATGGCAGGGCACAGTGGTCATCAAGAGGCTTTACATCAAGTCTACACAAAGCTACTTGTGGCCTGTGCTGGTTGTTTTGCCTGCACGGGGCTAAGAAACAGATGCAGAGGCTGCAAGGTCTCTCCCAACCCTCACTGACATCTGAGCAGCTGTGGCCTGTTATCTCAATGGATTTTAGTTTTGTTTAGTCTCTGACCAAAGACATACCAGTGACATTGGACATGTTTACTCAGCTCTGTTTTTGTG